GATAGGACGTTCAGCTGTGACGGCGGGCAGAGTTGCCCCGGGGGGGCGCCTCAGAGTGACACGTCTCCCTCCCCCCTCTCGCCTCCTCGCGTCTGCCCATATCACGATAGTCGCGCCAGCACCGAGGCCGGGGTGTTGCTCGCGTGCGGGATGCCGGGCGCTGAGGGCCGGCAGGCGAGGTCAGCACCCAAGGGCGGCTCGGGGCGTCAGGCCGCTGCCAGAAGGGAGGACGAGGAAAAGGCGGGAGGAGCCGGCGGTGCGGCTTCTCTGAGAGGGGCGGCGATGCCGGCGGGGGTGGGGAGGGAAGTGGAGGCCGCAGTTGGAGCCAGCGGGTGAAGATGACCGCCGCGGGGCCCCCTGGGCGGGGGTGGCTGGGTGCCGCGGCCTGCCTGGCGGGAAGGCGTTTCCAGTTCCGTGCCCCTGAGTAAGAGGCTACCGGCTGGAAGACACTCGGTTTCGCTGTGTTGAGTCGTTTCGTTTCTAGGCCGGGTGCAGCAGGTACGCACTGTGCGTTCGAGAGCAAAGTATTAGCAAAATGCTCAATAGATCCTGGTTTTCCTCAGTGTGTATGAATGGCACCTGTGGCAAGGAGCCCGGCGAGGGAAGGTGACGGTGCACACACGCCTTCCACAAGGGACACCTGCAGTCATTCTGATCTGGTGGTAATAAAAGCGAAAGGAGAAAAATCACACTGTGTTTTATTCTCATATACAAGATGCTGACTTTTTCTCAGTTGAAAGCAGATTGGTACCTTAAAACTGCAACAGGATGCAGTTGTAACTGTGACTTTTTTTGTGTAACACGATTTGGCAAACAAATACATCGTATCTGTTCAGATGAAGTAATGGTTCAGAGTTTTGTGTTTGGGTGGTTTTCTTAATACCTCTCTACTATTTTTTTTCTTTGTTTCAGGGTAACCAACCAAAGAAGTTATGAATATCATCAGTGGTCTAAAGTTGCCGAGCAGGAGCTGTACTTTCTTTCGTTTGACTTCTTTGACCAAGCCAGGGAAGCACAATAATCTCTATAGGTCTTATGCAGGGTATTGCCAAACTCAAGTCAGTTGTGCACGAGATAGATGCCAAAGACTACATTTGAGTGGAAGCAACAGAAACTATTTTTTGACTAGAAGCCCTGACTCCTATAGAAACTTTGTCAGTAAAGGACTGAGGTGTCTTTTGAATGTCCCAGATACGGAAGTGTACAACAATGCACATCACAGTTCAGGAAGGTTTTGCTTCCAGTCTTCACAGCCATTGGGGGAGAAGATCACATCCTTCCAGAGCAGTTCTCTAAGGCAACTCCTACATCATTTTTCTGCTTGGAACATTCAGATCATCAGGTCTTTTAGCACATCACCATTGTTTCAGGCTGCACCAGTTCCTCTTTTCTGGATTATTGTTAAGCCAGCTCAGAAACTATTTGCTATCATTCTTGGCAGGTAAAATACTAACTTACTTCCTCTCTCAGTATAAGACCCCATTATGCAAAGATGTATACATGAGTTTATGGAGAATGGTGGGTGTATTTGTAGTGTTTTCATTTTAATATCTGTGCAACATTTTGTAGGACTGGGGCCTAGACTGACAGTTTGCTCAACATGAAGTTGTTTCCATTATCAGAGGTGTTAGATGTATCTTTTGCTCCTCTCATTCCCGTGTATGTGTGGCAGAGGGAGATGAACCAAGACACTAAGGGGCATTCCTTTTTCTCCTGTGGGAGGGATGAATTGGAGTGAAGTAGAAGCCAAGGTTACAGTATAACCTGCCGTAAGTGCTTACATGATGTGAGACTGTAATAGAATACAGCAAGGGCAGACACTAACAAATTCTGTTTTAACTATTTCCTAAGTTAACAGTGTTTATATCTTACAGGAGCATAAGAAATTGGTGGAAGGCGCTTCCTCCTAATAAACGGGAACTTTTTAAAGAAAGTGCAAGAAAAAATAAATGGAAGATACTCTTGGGTGTCAGTAGCTTAGGAGTTTTATTTGTCATGTTTTATTTTACTCACTTGGAGGAGACACCCATCACTGGGCGCGCTCGACTGTTGGTGTTTGGAAAAGAGCACTTTAGGGAGCTGTCACAGATGGAATATGATATGGTAAGATTTTAAAGAAAAAATAAAAATACTCTCAAACTGTTAATGCCTTTTTTTTTTTTTAGTGATAGTCCAAGTAATGAGATGGGCAAACAAACTTTGAGGTGTCCTTGATAAGTTTTGAACTTCATGCTCAGAATCCTGCAGAGCACCCCCATCAGTTACCCGCTCCTCTTGTCCCCGTCCTTTTTAAGAGTTCCGTTTCCATCAGCAAACCACTCAGGGGCACATGAGCGCATTGTATGTATGTAGCAAGCATTTCTAACTGTGTTATTGTAATATAATAAATCTAGAAATCTGGTAGAAGCAATAAAAGCATAGCTAATAGGTATATGCTAAGATCTATCTCATTTTCTGTGCTGATCTGAGTGTTCTTTGGTACTTGTTTAAGGTCCTCTCTTTTAAGCTGTTGCTTTGTAAGGTAATACTCTCCACCTGCATTCAGTTCTACTTTTTTTCATTGGATCAGCTAATTTTTCTTTAATTTCTTTCTTTAAACTATACATTGCACTAATTTCTGTAACTTTGAGTTCTGTTGCTTTCTGTTCTAAAGCCAGTGAAATGTGATAATCCATGTACAAATGTCACTGTATTCCTGCCTGACAGGGAATGTGAAATAAGAACAGAACAGAAATAGTACAAGGATATATTCAGATTACATCTTTTGTATAAATTTTCCACCTTACAAATTACAACAGAAATACATATAAATATACGTGTAAATTCAGATGGAAATTCAGGAAGGTGTAGAAGGGTTTGCCAAATTGTGATGCCAGGCTTAACTGTGTGTTAGGAAAGCACCAGATACATGAGGCTGTAGGATGAAGTTTATACTGTCCTATTTTTGATCTGTTGTCACTTTACTTCCTATAAAGTTTATAAATCCTTAACTTGTGGGTCTGAAAGCCTGAACACCAAGATATTGGCTTTGGCTGTATGAAAGAAAAATGTATTAAAATTAGATTTAACAAAGTTGTGTGTAGCCACTAAATTAGTTTACCAATTAGTCATTTACTGTGTGTTTGTTCTGCATAGCAATCAATGAATTTTTATTTTTTCAGTGGATGGAGGAATTCAAAAGTAAAATGTTACCTGAGACAGATGCACGCTATCAGGTTGTGGAGAGAGTTGTTGGTCATTTATCTGAAAGTAATAAGGAAATCCCACAGGTCTCAGCTCTCAAGTGGGTTATCCATGTGGTAGACGAACCGGATGTAAATGCTTTTGTGCTTCCAGTAAGTTGCACCCAATACAAAAATTATTAGTAATATTGAAACAGCATTTTATTTATGTATCTTCTACTTAATTTTCACTCTCTTTTTGTTTACAGAATGGTCAAGTCTTTGTTTTCACTGGATTGCTAAATGCAGTTTCTGATATTCATCAGCTGTCTTTTATTTTGGGGCACGAAATAGCTCACGCTGTGCTGGAACATGCCGTAAGTATTTAAAGAAAGCTGTCTAAAATTCTTGAATTAATTCTGATTCCTTTCATTAAGATTCTTCCTATCGCTACCAGCCAAAGTTTCAGTGTGACTCTTTCTAATTAATGAAAAATTGAGTTTGAAATGAGAGTATTCTGCTACAGTATATTCTTATTACTCATGTAGTACTTAATAGCTGTCAGAAGTCCTGTAGTAAGTGTTAGCACAAGGTCTGCCAATGCTTTTCTTCATAGCTGTATGGATGGATTATGGCTCACTATTAACAATCATTTAGAACTTGGTCTGCAGATTCCTCTCCTGCTATAGTGCAGACGTAAGGAAGTAGAGGCACTCAGCGATTCGTTTTGTTACTCTTATACTTCTTAATATCTACAGAAGTGGATATACTTTAATAAATTATTCTAAAATACATGATATTTTTCCTTATAGTAGCACATAATTTTAGAATGCCAAATTCTAGACTGCCTGGAGCTTGATCCTGCGTTTACAGATGATTGCTTTCACAGACTTAGTTTTTCTATATCTGTATTTTTCCATATGTGTTGCAATTGGTAGTTCTTTGCTATTTGAACAGGATGGAAGTGATGATTTTGTTGTGGTTTGTTAGGTGCAACTATGAAAAAAGAGGCTAATATAGAAATATGGCTCATACTGTTCTAGATTGAGGTGGTTTGCTAGGAAGTGCTTCTTTGCCTCCAAATTGATTTCTTTCTGTGCATGTCATTTTAAAAAATTTAGTTCATTACCTATTCCTCAGTTTGAGAAGACACAGTGAGAAGCTTGTGAACATAAAGATCCTGCCAAAATTGCAAAACTAATCTGGAAATGGGTAAATACATTTTAAAGGTAGTGGAAATACAGGAGAATTGCTTTACTGCATTTCATATGATTTTTGACGAGCAACACTTCACATCATAGTTTCTTGGGCTCAGTTGAGGCAACTAACTTGTTAAACTTCTAAAAAAGTATTTCTAATAATAAAAAGAACTTACCTTGTTTCTGTGGAACCTGGGTCACCCAGCTGGCATAGAGAAAAACATTGCATGATCTGGCTTGTAACTGCTGGTATCAATTTGTTGCATGTCAAATAGAGCTCTGAAAACCAGGAAAGTTTCATTGCCTGTCTTCAGAATCTCTCAGTTTCTGAAATGAAAAGAATGCAACAGAAAATAAATTAAATACATTATGCTTAGTGTCCCCCTTATCCAATCAGTGCTCGTGTGTAAATGATGTCAATTTCTTCTCAAATTATTGTAAAGAACAGTCTTCTAGGTCTTTTTATAGATTTTTTGTTGTTGTTGTTGTTCTAACTGAGGTGTCTCGTTGCCTTTTTACTAGAGAGCTCTGCCTGCATGATGCTGTCATCTTATCTCAAGCTTTGAATCTCTTGAATTGGGAGATAGCCAAAATGTATTTGTTCCAGCTATGTTGATGCAGTTGGTGTGGATTCTAGACTGAAAGTACATTGTATCCAACTGGATTTTTTTTGTGCAAGCAGGGGAGCTTGTTCTTACCTTGTTCCTGTGGCTGCACAGAAAAAAAAAATCAGTGATTTTTAAAGTGTTTCCAAATTCTATTGTGTTCTAAAGAAACGTCAGACAGTAAGGAATGAAAGTGGGACAATTTGTGTTTGCAGGCAGAGAAAGCCAGCCTGGTTCACTTCTTGGATTTTCTGTCACTCATCTTTCTCACTGTCATTTGGGCCATCTGTCCCCGTGATAGTTTGGCAGTTGTTGGCCAGTGGATTCAGAGCAAGTTGCAGGAGGTAAGTCTGGCATTTTGTATTATCCTTCCTGAGTTCCACAAAAAAACGTTTTTAATCTTGGGGAGATAGTACCACTAAATAGTATGCTTGGGGAAAAAGGCAAGAGGAGAAATATTATAAGCAAAAATTAATATTTTAGTATGTTTTTGAATGAAATAAGTTTTTATAAATCTGTATCTGCTTTAGTTGATAGGTATTGTCATTTGATATCTTGAAGAACTTTAGATCTTCCTAAATGACTGGATTTAGCTGGTCGAGCTCCGAGTACCTTCTTGCCAGTCAAATTAAATGATTGTCTTTCTGAAATGTAGCTCACCCTTTAAAGCTGTATATGTTGAAATGCCATGGTTTTATTTTGAGTAGTTGTTAAATTGTTTCTAAACCAAATAAAGTAGATGGTATTCTTTAAGTACATTGTTAGCGGTAAGAATAGTTTCCAAGAGAAGAAAATTGAGAATCTGAACACTTTTAAAGTGTAAACCGTGCTATAATAAAACTTACTGAAATAATCTTTTCAGACAGCATATATTCCAATAAAGTAAAAGTCAGATGCTTTGTGGTGCCAGCTTTCTTCAGCTGTCTTCGGACAGTTACTGATCCCTTTCTTTTTAAAAAATGAGGGTTTTAAAAAAGAAATTTTGCTTACATCATGAAACTTGAATCTGAATTTAAGTGAAAGAGCTCTTTGATTTCTTCGACTTCTCTTGATGTTTTTCCCGAGATTTCCCCCAGTTCCCCAAAACCATGAAATTAAACATAACCAGTCTGTTTTGGTAGTCCTTATGCTAATGGGTAGATGTGTGGATTCCAAACATAAATTATCTCTAAAGAGCTTGGGTATTTGTACAAGTAGCTAAGAAACCAATACATTGATGAATGCTCGCCAGCATTTTGAAGAGCTGAATTTGGAAAAACCAAAGTGTGAATCAATCCTGAGACTGCTCATAATTTAGACAGCAAGATTTAACTCCCTGTCAGCATCCTTTTCTCCTCTTCTAGGCTAACTGCAACTGGTATTTTGGCACCGTGGACTGGAATTGTGCTTTAGATTGCAAGTGGAATCTGGGTTTAAGCTCAGAGCCCTAGTCTGCTGTAGGAAAGATCTATCATATATGAGCTACTGTACAGTAATGTCCTGGCTTAAAACTCTGATCAAACTCACCTTCATTGCTGTTAAACGTATCTATATGTAATGCAGAATAAAGAAGTAATTAATATTTACAAAGCTTTCATCCCATATACAAGAGGTGCTGCATAGAAAATTTTGTTTCTGTGAGTCACCCAGAAGTGCAATGGCTGTTGGTTTCCTCCACTCAACATTTGCCTGTTGTGTTTACATGAAAATGAATCTTTCTACATGTTTTCTCTAGGATGTTTCTTTTCCTCTTCTTTCCATAACTATATTTTACTTGATAAAGTTTTAGCATCCCACTCTATGAAAGTGTTATTTAAGCAACATTGCAGTACTTGCTTCTGTTTCAGTATTTGTTTTCCTTCTGTGTCCTCAAAGTTCACGCTTTTTTACCTGCTGACTATTGTTTACTTTTTATTACTGGCTGTAAGTAGTTTCCAGTGGCTCTTTGTAAGGCTTTTGGCATGTTAGCTCCAGTTCTGCTTTTTTCTGCAAAGCTAGTGGGTTTGCTTGCCTTAAGAAATTGTTCTTCTATGTGATTTCATTCATGGTTGTTCTTTAGTCATGTATTTCTGAACTGAAACATGTTGGCTTTGCTTTTACAGCAGCAGTTATTTTATAGGGGAACTAAAGCCTAGGAATTACTCTTGGAATATCACAAAGCATGACTGAGTTTTACTCATGTCCTGCACACTAGTACATACGGATACATCCCTTCCTTGTACATAGTACATCCCTTCCTTGTCCACCTCACACCATCAGGTTTGTATTTCATGGGGAAACTGGTGATTTTGGATAGGCAACTTAGCTGGAACTTCTTTCTTTTTAAGATATACAGACAGCTCTGGTAATTGATTTGAAAAATCAGATCTGCTTTTATTATATCCAATTTCTGACAAGGATTTTAGATCAGAGTTTGAAGATGTGATTTTTCATTCCAGCACATTCACAAAAGATTTTTTTTTAAATTTCATTTCACAGTAGCAGATGAGTAGTATTGTATATTGGATGTCTCAAGACCCTTTTATGTGACCACTGCCGAGATTATAGGCTAGAAGCGCACTGTGAAGAAGAACCCGTTTTCTCAAGAGATTCAGTTTATCTCATAGTTTTAATTTTAGATCTGAAGAAGAAACACATAGAATCTCAAAAATTGCAGAGGACGCTTCTAGGTCTCTTGTATGTTAATGAAATTTTGGTAATGATCAGAACATAACAAATCTGGAACCCTACTTGGTCATAAGCTATATCTAGCATAAGAATTGCTGTATGGAGTCACATCAGAGCCTCTTTAGGCTCCTCTCTTAGCTGTGACTGGCCAGGAGCAGATACATAGAGGAAAAGTAAAGCAAATAACAGCAATTATAGGGTGATAGTTTGATAGTTTCTTCAGATGCCATTCCTCCTTCCACAGTCTGCAGCATGGGTAGGTCCTGAACTAGAGATTGCATTAGTATTGTGTTTATTTTTAGAAACACAGCTGTATTTTTACCCTAGTGCTTAACTGTAAATTGAAATAAAACTATTTAAGGGGTAAGAGTTTAAATACTTATCTTTTTATTAGCATCTTCTTGCTGTTTCAGATCTTTCTTTCTAGGTGGTCTATTAAGACACATGCATTCAGACCATCAATTTCCTAGTTCTTAAACTTTTGCAAATCTTTTTTGAGATGGATGCTACCTCTTCTTCCTTAAAATTGTTGTAAACCTTCCTGAGAAGAAAACCACAAGTGGTTGTAACTGAAGAAATAGAAAACTGCCTGCTTGTGTAAGCCTCTGTTCCAGTTAGTGCTCTGGGTAGTCCTATTGTCTGTTACCGGTTTCATCTCCCTGTCTGAGAAACATTTAATAATTAGACAAATAGTTTATCTGGCTAACTGGGAAATGGTGCTTTAGGAATAGATGGCAGACTAGCCAGGGATATCTTTGCTGTTTGCTGAATATATGCATTCCAGTAGGCCCAGAGCACTTTTCAAGGCAATAGAAATGTATATTCCAGTTCAAGTAATGACTTTATCATCAGAGGATTTTAAAAATACAGATGTTTAAGGTCTGTAAGGAAACTTAAGAATTGAGAAAGTGACCTCATCTATCCTTACTTATAAACCCTCATATGCGGCTTTAAAAGAGCTATAGAGGGTCACCTTTGGCTGGCTTTATTTTTGACCTAGTAAAGAAAAATTGTCAGTGCTACTTTAGAAAGAAGCAAAAAGTTACAGATGCCTTTATGTACTCAAGAGATTGGATGACTTCTTTGGTGCTCTTCATTTCTATCTGTTTTGTCTTTTTTTTTTTTCTTTCTGTAACTTACAAGGAGGACATATTTTTATAACAAGATAAAAAGCTGATAAAACCTTTTTTTCTTTGCTAACCTTGCACATCCCTGTTCTTCCATTGATATTTCCTAATTGATACCCAGACCTGAATGTTGTGACATGTTCGTTATCTCTGCAGGAGCAGGCTGTTTTAACAAGTCCTGATTTGCTTTTACTATAAGCTGATAGACTAGGACAAGGCTGCCCAAGTCTGCATGAATTACATATGCCAGAAGATCCTGAGTTATGTGACTAAATAACCGTTTGAGAAAACTACCGCTGTCTCTTAGCGTCTGTTGATAGTGTGTGTTGATATCGTGTCATACCCTAGAAAAAAGGAAGAGGAGTGGGTCAGATTTATGTCTTCCAGTTTGATTTCTTAAGGGCAATTTGGAACTTGTGTTGGGGGATAATGATGACAAAGGAGTGATTTCTGCATGAAAATGTTTATGGCTACATTCCATACTGAGGGCTGTGTATCATACAAAACAGATCATACCAGATTTAAAGACAGGCATCATGAAAGTTTAAGGGAGCCACTGGAATGTTTTACATACAGTTGCTACAACAAAAATCTTGATGCAAATAGAAGAGTGAAGTGACAAAATTCTAGTTTAGAGTTGTCATTGACCCTGTGGTTGCTGCAAAATGCTGAGAGACTGGCTGCTGAGAGGGGCCATGAAAATATGTATAATTTGAATTAATTTCTGCTGAATACAGGATCAATGAATTACCTATAATGGAATTAAATATTACATTAAGAAAAGTAATACCAATCACATGCAATATGAAAATGATAAATAAACACCATTTCTTATGAGGTTAGAAAAACAGCTACACTGCTCTAGCTTTGTAAACATTCAAAACCACGAAATAGAGCTTTGATGTGCTCCTTTGCAGTTTATGTTTGATAGACCGTATAGCAGAACATTGGAGGCTGAAGCTGATAAAGTGGGACTTCAGTTTGCAGCAAAGGTAACTCCAACTTGCTTCTTTTATTAGCACTTCATCAGACATTTTTCAGTTTCCATTATAATCAGAGGGGATTTCACACTTCATACAGAGGTAAACTGGGTGTGTGTGGGGGGTGTCCCAAAATTTGAAAGATATACATTGATGATGTAGTACAAAATAAAACGATTTGTAAGGAAAGACAAAGTCATTCTGGCTACATTGTGTGTAATAAAATGGAAGTTTGTAATGTTGTGGATGATTAACTGCACATTATGCTTTCTATGTAGTTTATTACTATTAGAAGGAAAAGCTACATTTTTATAAAGAGGAGAATGCCAATTAGTGAGCTTCTGTGAGAAGGATATATTTAATTGTATGTTAAGATATAAATTACCCTTTAGGTTTTTGTTTTACTTAGTTTCCGTCTATTGTGAGAAATTCTGAGGAATGCTTTACTATGTTGTAGTGCACCTGAAATATTCTGATCTGTATCTATTCTAATGGCAATTCAGTAAAATTTAAGAACTTTTTGATGTTGTTGTTATATTTTCTGTGATTGCTGGTAATTATGAAGTATATCAATTTTGTTCTAATATTTAAAGAGTCAGTCTAAATACAGCCATAAAAATAATGTGGCTTTGCTAAAGTAAGACAAAAATTTGGTCAGAAACTACTCAGCATTTTTTTGCTTAACTTGGTTTTTTAGTTACTTTTTTTTTGTCCCTGTGGATTTTAATTCTGAATTAAACTACAACTCCTCTTTCGTTTCTAGCTAAGTGCAATAGAGCTGATAGATAACTATGAAAGCAGCACCATCTAGTGTTAATATTTCATAAGGAAAATTTCCTTTTCTTAATAATTATTAATATTTCTTCAAGGAAGAGTTTTTAAAATTAACTGATTCTGAGATTGAAACTGCATTTAAAGTCATCTAAGGGAATAACGCAATCCACAAAAAACCGTAATTGCTGTGTAGGTGCTCTCGGCTTTGTAATAGGGAAGATGTAGGGTCATACTAGAAAAAAAACAAGAACAGTGATATCTCAGCGTTTCTCTGCTTCTGCAGATAATCTTTTTATAATAATAATTTTAAGAAATTAAATCGAAGGTTAAAGCACCACTTCTGTATTTCTGGGGGAAAAAAAGTAGTTTTCTTACCTTCTGAGTATTCATCTCTTTTTTTTTTTTTTTTTTTTCTTAAACAATGAAAATTAATGTAAGAAATCTTATTCTTTTTCCCCCCTACACTTAAATGCAAATATAAAGGAGTCTGTTGGCGATACACAAATGCCGCTCTTAAAGTTAGTGTTCCACGAGTTTCTACGGTTAAGTATATACTTCTATGGAGAGAGACAGGAGAGTCCTAGTTCTGCAGAATTCCTATTTTAACATATTGTGGATTACAAAGATCTCCCTTGAAAAAGGCAGTGTAATCACTTACAGAAAAGCCTTTGCAGTACTTAAGTATGAATTATTATCACTTTATATTTTTTACTCTAAACTTCTTCCTGTAAATTTGCCTAAATCTGTGGAGACAACTAATTTGTTCTGCTGTGCTGTGTCCAGCAAATATAACTTAGAATAAGTTGAGTTTTTTAAAGAACAAGTAGGTGCCAGAAATTGTGAATCTGTTTTTCTCCTGAATTGTTTAATTCAGGTATAAGTTTCTTAAGATCGGTGAGATTACATAGATGTTAAAAGGAACAAATTCAGTGTCTATATGGATGAGTGTTTTACTGCATTTAGATATTTTAGAATAGCCTTTTCCTGTCAGGTATGAGAGGGACCATCTAAACAGGCTTTGGAAATTTAAAACTTAAGATGTCTTTTGTAACTCAATATCCACTAGGATGTGTATTGTATTACTTTTAAATCTATCTCCTTTCTTTTTTCAGGCTTGTGTGGATGTAAGAGCAAGCAGTGTATTTTGGCAACAAATGGAATTAGCAGAAACCATTCAAGGGCAGCCCAAGTTACCAGAGTGGCTCTCTACACACCCTTCTCACGAAAATAGAGCTGAGCACTTAGACCGGCTTATCCCAGAGGTGAGCAGAGTTGAAGGAAGTGTGTGTTTTTCTCTTAGGCAGGTTGCCAGAATTAGTTTGGTATTGATTCACAAGCTACTTTGGTATTGATTCACAATCTGCTCTTTTAGCATTGTGCGTATCTTTTTCTTCATCCTTACTGAATTTTTTTGTTAGAAAGCTCTCAACTGTAAAGTTTTTATTAAATGAGGAAAAATTAAAATAGGTAAAATGTAATTATATTCTAGGGGTTTTTTCTGTTCTGATTTCTGACCAAAATGTAGTATTTTTGCTTTTGAATGGCCTTCCTGGTATAGATGTGACCATGTCACAGGTATCCTCCATTCTTTTATCTTTTCTGCCAGTTTGGAAGCCAGTTTTTAAGTTGGATCCCTAAGCTATTCTTGATTTCTCTTGCTTTAGTAGCTAGTCCTAGGCTGTCAGATAGAGAATGCTCCATCCTATCCTGTCTCTCTCTCTGATGTGGGATTGAATACACCTCGAATAACTATGCCGCAGATCCCCAGTAGAAGATTTCTTAATAGCCCTAATTATGATAGGTCTCTGTAGATTTTGCAGCCTGCCTTTTTCTTCACATCTCTGTTCCGTCACATTAGGGAGCAAATTTTACCTCATTCCAAGGAACCTGAGCTCATTCACGCAATTGCCTATCGATCTGCAGTCTTTTTTCTGTTCTTTCTTTCAGATTTTCTCTCAGAGGAATGCCAAGTACATAGCTACTTGGGGATCCTTGTAGTTTCATGTGCTGCTCCCTGGTAGCTTAAGGACAGAGAACCGTTCCGAGTTTAGTAGTCTTAACTGGTTTACTATGTCTTTAAATAGTGGGGTTTTCAACTACAGCAAAATAACGTGGATTGGGTTTTGCCCAGTTTTTTCTTTTTAAAATATAGTGTTAGAGCACTTCACAACAGCACTTTTTCAGCTTTGCTAAACTGTGTTTGGAAATTCCCTTTCTTATAACCAACTGGTAATTTCTTCTTCTTTTTCTTTTTCTTTTTTTATTTTTTTAAAAAAATCTCAGTCACTTTAAGTCTTTCTCAATTCCAAACTGTAAAGACAATTGAAGATTTATTGGCAGAGGGAGCACTAAAATGTTGAGGTGTTTGCTGATTTCAAAGGTGAAAGATTTTCATGAATCCTTTGATGAGGATGAATGCAGTAAATATTCTGAATGGTGGCATAAATCAAAATCAACATTGGGGTAGGAGATTGGAGACTGGCTAGACTGAATATTTTAAATTAATATACCCAAGCTCTGTACTTTGCAAAAACAAGTTGTGAGACTATTTTTATGGATTTTCTAACACATTAGAACAGCTGAATGGAAAATGATACTTGTTGTGGAGTCTCAGTTTTAGTTAGATTGAATATAAAGAGTTCAGGATCCTTTATTTTCATACAGTTATTGGCTGGCTTATAAAGCGGTAATGAAATAAATTACTTTTTATGATGTTCTACCCCAGGACTGAGCAAATAAGTTAAATAACTGAGCAACTGTGTGGAACTGGTGGTCATGTTATTTCTGACTTAACTCTTGTAGTTTAGCAGGTGGAGCAACCTTCCATCTTTTTATAGCCACCACTCTCACTTCCAAGAGCAGTGGAGGCTAGGAAATTTTCTTTCAAAAGATAATTGAGGAGAAGATGTTTTCATTTGCATTTCACCTTAAACATTATTTGGAATAGGCTGAAAAAGCAGAGGCTGAAGGCTTCTTGTTTTTAATAGGAGTTCAGTAGGTGAGGCTGATACTACAAAAGTGGAATAAAAATGAAAGAAGGCATGTAGAGGTGTTGTTGGAGGCTTCTTGTCTGAAGCATTGACTCCCCTTCATCTGAGAGCTGCCTTCTTGAAGCTGGATCTCAGGCATTTAAAGGGAATCCCTGGGCTTTGTGGTTGTTCAGTATCAGCACCTTCTTGTTTCATTGTTCACATACTTAAAGCCTTTTAGAGCACTATGTTTACCATATATTAATGGCCATTAGATATTCAGAGCCGAGGGGAAGAAGGCAGATTTCAGAAAGCGCCTTTTTATCTCTCTAGTATCTCTCTGTGAAGAAACTGTACTTGTTAAGACTTAGTATCAGATCCATCATGAGCATTGTTGTGTTTCATACGCTGATGGTTTTGAAGCTGAAATGGTTCAGGACAATACAGTATCTATCATTAGACCAGCTACTGTAGCTGGGGGAAATAGGGACAAGTTTTTGGACTTCTCAGGCCACAGAGGTGTTTCTCTACAGACTTCTAAGCAAGTTCACAATAAGATGCAATCATATAAAGTGAGAAATTTTTTTCAGGTGATGAAATGGCATGGCTTAATGAGGTGACTTAACAGTCGTAGGAAATGTAAATTAAAGCAGGAATATCACAGGGATTCTCTTTTCACAGAATTAAAAGACGGGAAGTAAATCAAATGAGATTTGAAAGTCTTGCATCTGGTTTTCTGAACAAGTTGGAAGCTGTAGCCAAGCTGAGGAACTAATGAAGAAGAGAGCTATAAACAGATACAAAGTGGTGCTGTCCAGGAAAGGAAATAAAAAAGTTTTATTGTGCTTTTAAAGGATTTCCCCTTCAGACGGGGAGAGATGTAGATTTTAAAATAGGAAACCAGAATATACTGTTAAATAGGAAACTGAAGTCTCCTAGAATTCCTACATGGAAGGTGATGAGGTGCTTGATGAAGGCCTATACATTTTATTTTCAGAAAAAGAAATCTTAAAATAATTTTGTAGTAGTAGGAAGAATGCTTACCATTGTTCTGGAGAGAAAAATTGTGGAAGTGTAGTGCCAGAGAGAAGCTACAGGATCTTCTACTTTGTCTCTGAACCTTTTATTTTTATGGTCTCTCACTTGCTGCAGTTTGTCTACCTTTTTCCTAGTATGCTGTTCAAATAGAGCACTGAACATGAGCTGAAGCCTCAGCTATACTAAATAAAGCAGGAGGTTATCTACTGAGCCTTGCTTGTGTCACAAAAATTCGTCTTGATGTGACATTTTCTTTTTTGGCACCATGTTGTTGGCTCAGATTCCATTTTTGATTCGCTGTAACTCCTGTTTCCCACTCTGTCTTGTGGAAGTGCCACGTTGAGATCATTTCGAAAGTAGTACTAAGTTAGGATGTGTCACCTCTACTGCTTCTCTTTTGTTTGCTACATTAACTTGTAAAAAAAAAAAAAAGTTAGTTAGTTTAGTTTGGCAAGACCTGCTCTTGTCAAACCCACATTGGCTGGTTATTATTTTTTATTATTGTTTGGGTAGTATTGCTTATTCCTCAGTCTGCTGCTTTTGGATATTGCAGATACATTTATTTTGCTTCCTTTTCAAAAATGGGTCGGTATATTTGCCCTTTGCTTGTGATGTGGAGATTACTTCAGATAGTTGTAATACTAGAATATATTAATTAAGCCCTATCAATGGGAAAACTTAAAAGGAAAATAAGAATAAAAAATACTAATCTGTGTTTCTATTCTCCCCAGTTGTTAAATATTTTGTCACCATTTTGCTTTTCTGTGCCAACAGCAGCAGTGAAAGATTTGAAGTATTAACATTGTATATAAATTGCGTTTCTTCTCCATCAAGTATGAATCATCTTTTTACTGCTACTTCACTTATAGAACCTGTTGTCTTCTCTATGCCTGCTGATTGTAACTCATTTTGCAACCCAGCATTTCTTTTTTTTTTTTTTTTTTTTCTTTTTTTCCTCTATGCTTGTGCTATTTCTTTGTTTTTGTCAGAATTGCAAGGTCAGAGCATAAGTCAGTCCTGCCAAGGTAATCACAGTTAACACACAAGAGACTTGTAACCCTGTAACCCTTGGCCTGGTTTGCGGACAAGAGAATGATGTGACTTTTATACTGAGAGAGCTGACAGCCCGAGAGGTAGGATGCACTCCAAAAGGCTGTAAGGGGTTGAGATGCAGCAGGTAGCCTGATATCTGTGACATGGTGAAGGATTAATATTGAGAGCTAAAAATTACTTGGCTCTGTATTTGTCTCCACTGGCAGGCTTTATATGAAAGCAATAGGATGAGGTGGACCTCCCTAATTCCTATGCCTTCCCCCCTCCCAGCACATTGCAGGAGGTGACTGCAGCTGTATTGATAAGAAAAACAGCTTCACCTTTGTTATTTACAAGCAATAGTTTTGATATTTTGTTTGAGATCTCCTGAACCGATAAGCATGCAGGTGGTCTTTATTCTGAACAGCAGTGCTTCTCTCTCAAGGTGAACCTAAAAGAACAGCATTAAAGTATTCTCAGTTCCCAGGTGAATCTATGTGCTCACTCTGGCTAGCTAACCTTGTCTCAGTTCTGTCTGTCGTCTTTATTGAGAACACTCTTCAGTTAAAACAGTCAATGAAACCTGTTCTTATTATGGTATCAATATGCATGTGCTTCGTTAAGAATGCTTGTACTTGTCCTGTTACCCAAACTGTCAAAAACCAATTTACTTGAGCAGGATTAAATTACTGGATTTGAAGTTAGTAGTGATTTTGGAAGTACAGTACAACTGACCGCGTTGGGGTGTTTTATCTTTCAAGAAAAATTATACTGTAAGCTCCTCAGCCTGTAACTGGCATCTTACTGATGTTACAGAGCTACTGGCCCAAACCGAAATAGCGGTGGTCAACTGAGCCAGGGAAGAACACTTTCTAACTGGAGTTGGACGTTGCGTGGCAGTCACAAATGTACATACAAAGGCTGCTTTCACTGGAGTGTGTAGTCATAGCTGTCTTTAACAGTAAGAGAACGTGTCAACATAGCTTTCCATTCTCATAACTGTAGTCTTTTTAATGGCACGTGAGTTGATGGTGTTGAATAGATGCCTTCTACCCCCTTGGAGAGCTTTACGTCTGGCAAGAACACAAAGGCATCCGAAGGGTAAAAGTGTTAACCCTGAAGTATTGTTTTTTACCTTTGCTCTTGTGACTTTAGCATTTTAGATAAATGAAACCGTGGAAATAGGTCAGGCACTATATAGCCACGAAACCCAGACATATAAAATTGCTAAATTAGTTTAAAAGAGGATTATGTTGCCCTTTCCAGGATACAGCCTAAATCTTCATATTTCCATTTGCCTTGAATAATGCTGCTTGACATTAATGCAGTCTTGCAGCAGCTTATGTTCTGGAAGAGAACAAGAGAAAACTCTTGGTTTGTCATAAATGTCAGTTTAGAAATTAATTGGTCACTGAAGCAGAAGACTGTTCAGCAGTACAGTTACATTTGGTGACTACATGGACGATCATGCCGTAGGAAAAACAAATACTGAAAGCTTTATTCGTATTTTTTTAAAGTTAGACAAGAAGAATATTTGCATGCCTAATCCAGACTTGTTTAACCAGTAATTTGAAAGTTACATTTCAGCAAGAAACAGCTGAAAGAATTCTTGCTACATTCCTGAAATGAGTCTTTTTCCAGAACCAGTTGTTAAACTTAAATACCGTTTGACTCTAGCCATTTATAGCAAACTCTTTATCAGTTCACTGTAGTAAAGCTAGGGAGAACTATGTTTTGGTACCTTCTTGTACAAAGAAATGAGTTAAGAAGCTCTGCTCTTCTGTTTTAAAATGTGCTGTAGTAAGATGTTTCCAGTGTCTCCCATAGAAGAATACCAGATTGTTTCAACATGAAGGGCAGATACTTATGCATAGCTGTACTGGAATATTTGATTTGATATTTCAGCCAGATCTAGTATAGCACAAAAATTTCTGTTCGGTTTAAGTGCAGTGCTAGGACTGCTATGAAAACTGTGTTACTTTCTTCCTCCTTTTTAATCCGTCTAGAACAAATTAATCAACCATGCTTTCCGCTAACAGTCCTCAGTACTGGTTAGGAGGCACCTGGCTACAACTCGGGACAGGTCTGGCCATTGCTTTTCAAGAATCCATGGTTATGAAGTGAAGCGGAATAAAACATACATTTGAACTTACTTTCCCATGAAAAGATTATAAATAGAGCTGAATGTTAATCTGCCCGTAGGTTTATGCTGAGGCCGAGATACAGATAAGATTCCATAAAAGTGACCATACAACAGTGACCGTTAAGTAATCCTAAATATCAGGCTGGATTTTGACTTAGTGTTTCCTTGGTGTTTCATTTTGCAAATCTTGAAAAAATAGTTCTCAGCGGAGATGTAGAACCCTCTAAAATTCTACATATATTTTGCTATATGATACATAGGAACTTACTTTTCTTGGTTAGTTTAAATGGGTCTTGTAGGAGAATCCATGGATACTAGTAGGTCTGTGTACAACTGCTTGCAAAAAGTGCTGCATCACTTAGTTTTGTGGCATCCATTGGTAGCTCTAAAATGAGCTGCCTGTTTGCATGGACTAATTAAGGTATGTTCAGCTTTGTTAAAATAACTGCCAACTTAAGCATGCTTTTAAAGCAGCTGACTGTACAGTTTTCTCTCTATTTCTCCACAGTGCCTTTGAGACATTAGGTTCACTCATTGTCATATCTTTCTCAGATTGCCCACAAGACATTGTGATCTGGGGGGAGTCTGCTTGTGCTACTGGATTTTGATTCTCTGGGAAATTCTTTGGCTGCTTCATGCCTCCACTTTCTAATCTGTTGAATGGAAGCAATGGCACTTCCTCAGTGAGCAGGAGTAACTTAAAATTTGGTCACTTAGTGCTAATCTTTTTATCCAGATACATTTTTGCGTTCTACAGACGTTATTTTCTCCGAATACTCGGAAGCTGTTACTCAAACGCTTCTTGGAGATGAGATCAGTTGTGTAACTGGACCTTAACTATGCTGATCAACCACCTGGATCTCTGTGCCGAACAGTTAAATGTCCAGTATGTTATTGGAGATTTTTCCCCTCCTTTTTTGAGTCAGACATCTATATATAATTACTTCAATAACAGAACGTATCTGATGAAGGATATTATTCACAGCCCTTTTTTTCTTGATGCAGTCATTTAAATTTACATGGGAATGTAAATTAAAAGGTAAAAGGTACTGATGTGAACAAGTGTCACATAAAATAGTTGGAGCACTTCTTGTCTGTTTATGCTGTACCTTCTAGAGTATCCAGTCTTTGAGAGACTGTCTGTGGGAAAATCTGTCCTTTTTTTCCATTGTTTTATGACATTATTACATTTCTCATTTCTTCTCAAGAATTCTTGGTTTCTGTTGAAAAGTTATTCAATAACAACTCAGTCTCAGTGTTATACTCGCTAAGCTTTACATGGAAATGCAAACCTTACTGGAAAGCCAAATCGCTGACTGAAACCTTTTTTGTTTTTCTTACTTGAATGAGCTTGACTTGTTTTCCTATGTATTCACAGGCTCTTAAAATAAGAGAGAGCTGCAATTGCCCATCTCTTTCTGGACCAGATCCTCGCCTCATTTTCAAACTTAACATGCAACATCTCCTGGAATCGTCTAAAGATCAAGAAACCCCAAATTCTGCAAAGCGAGATCTCTCAGAACCAAAACTGGATTTTCCTCGCGCTCAGAAAGTGGAAGATATGCCAGTAACTTTTGCAGTTAAACCTACAGGCTAATGATAATCATTTCCACCTTTTATGAAACTTGTGGTTCGTGAAGGTCTGTCTTACAATGCAAATTTGTCTTTGAACCATAAAGAAGATGTAGCCAGTCATATCCTGTTTCTTTTATGTGATCTCTTACTC